TCATAAGCATTATCATTATCATTTGCAATCTTATTGGCATTAGCATTGATGCTATCATCATTACTGCTGGGATGGTTATAATTGAATTATTAAGTGTTAAATTGCCATAATATTTTGTATAAAGCTCTCTCTCTTTCCTTGCCTTTAATGATTTTAAAGATTATTATTAACATTGCCAATAACATTAACATACACATTATCAGTCTTATAATGATCGTTGTCACTGGCATTATCATAAGCATTATCATTATGATTTGCAATCTTATTGGCATTAGCATTAGCATTGATACTATCATCATTACTGCTGGGATGGTTATAATTGAATTATTAAGTGTTTACATTGCCATAATATTTTGTATAAAGCTCTCTCTCTTTCCTTGCCTTTAATGATTTTAAAGATTATTATTAACATTGCCAATAACATTAACATACATATTATCAGTCTTATAATGATCGTTGTCACTGGCATTATCATAAGCATTATCATTACCATTTGCAATCTTATTGGCATTAGCATTAGCATTGATACTATCATCATTACTGCTGGGATGGTTATAATTGAATTAAGTGTTTACATTGCCATAATATTTTGTATAAAGCTCTCTCTCCTTCCTTGCCTTTAAAGATTTTAAAGATTATTATTAACATTGCCAATAACATTAACATACATATTATCAGTCTTATAATAATCGTTGTCACTGGCATTATCATAAGCATTATCATTATCATTTGCAATTTTATTGGCATTAGCATTAGCATTGATACTATCATCATTACTGCTGGGATGGTTATAATTGAATTATTAAGTGTTTACATTGCCATAATATTTTGCATAAAGCTCTCTCTCTTTCCTTGCCTTTAAAGATTTTAAAGATTTTTCTATGGTAACTTGGCCTCTGTGCAACGATCAGAAGTATTATAAAAGTTTTGTATAAAAAATTTGAGCAAAAAAAACTGTAAAGAAAAACGCTGGTGTATGTTTCAATGTCTTAAAGGCAGAAGCTTCTCTTTTAGTTTTTTCATAGGTAATTTCGTAAAAAGTTTCTCAGAAGTTACACAGAATATGTTAGAGTAACGCGAACCCTACTTTCAAGCCAATATTTTTCGAGGCAAAACATCAAATTTATGCCTAAACCGGTTTTTTCTTT